TTATCAAATCCATTTGAATGGTGTAATTCTGAATATAAGTTAAATAATTGGTTGTCTGAAAACAACTTGTACGAAGAAGCATTGTACGATTGTACAATTTAATTCCTGAAGATGATTTGATACTCTACTCTCAACCCAATTTCTGCACTTTAAGAAATATTCATAAAGTTTCAGTGGTATTTACATAGTTTTAAAGTAAAATATTAACAAATGTTTTCGAATCTCATTTCAGTGTCTTCTTCACTACAGACTATACCGGAACCGTATACAGGGCCGCATTTGTCTGTTCGGAGAGCATCGATAGATGACACACAAACACCGCACGGTTTACCTACAAACATTTTTTTTTCCACTCAACAATCGGTAAGTAGACAAATAAACTATTATCGACACTTGGAGTATAAATCTATTTTAAAAATTATGTCTGTAATTATAATTAGGATTAAATACATTTTAAGTCTTAGGTACATGTATACGGTTGGGGGGGAGGGTTATTGTGAATTGTGCCATCCTATAATTTCGGTGCGTTGATCGTTAGCGGTCAACAAACAAACACGTCTGTACTCTGAAGTGTATCGTACAGCCTACATTTTTGCATATTATTTTTTTTTTATATATCCTAATTTTGTTGTACTCTTGTGTTTAAGCATCAAAATGACAAAAATAAATCTGCATAAGCTCATTGCCGTTTTCAAAAAAAAAGGATGTACTCAATGTCAGTGGAATAATGTAAAATGTGGTGATGATATCATCATTGAGTCTTGCAAAGCATGTTTTGATCAGAATACATGTTTGAAAAATCGAAAAATGATTAGACGAGTAAGTCGACAACATTTAATGAGCGACTTAATATTACACTGTAATACAATTTTAAATGCAAGAAAACATAATTGCAATATTGCATATCAAATTTGGCATGCTTCACTGTTGAGTTTCTACTTTCTTAGCAAGGAAGGGCCGCTGGGTTTAGCAGGGACAAATTACAATATTTTTTGTTTATATTGTAGTATATAAGTCATGTCGTAAGTCGTTACGTTTATTATTATATTGTACCTACTAAATGGTATTTTGCAATATACGACTGTCGCATGAACTGTTATTAATATCACATAGTGTTACGTTTAATATAAAGTATAAACTAAGTACTGCCGGGAAAGTCCTCGCGGTATCTTGTCTAATTAATTTTATATTTTTATAATATTATATGTCTATGGCAAGAACTGGTTTACAACTGTCGAGTAATGACATTCGACAGAATACCCCCATATCAGATTGGGTTATAGTTTATAATATTATGAAAACATTATCAAAATACAATGAAAAAGATGTCTGATATCCGACCCGGGAGAGAAACAGGAGACGCACCAATTTTAAAATAGATTCGAAGGCGAAAAAATAATATAACAACGCGAACAATGTAAAATGTTTCGAGTCTGTATAACGTCTGGTAACGTTATGATTTATTACCACCCCGGGTATCGTTCCTAGCAGATAGCAAACAAAGATTACGAAGTCCGTGCGATGCTATCATTGTCAATATACAACTATTTCGTGATTGAAAAATATACTTAAGTAAATTTGACTAATAAGACATTAGTTTTAGGATTTTTATTTTTTTTATTTCAATGCTGGAATAAAAAAAAAAAAACACCAATTTTCCATTGTGCGTACACTATGATTTATGTACTGTTGGACGAGTATTTTAGAAATATATTATAACTGGCTAACGAAATATAATATAGGTATTAATATAATTGCTTCTTTAATTCAATAATAAAACTATGTTACACGAGATTATTTATCTAATCTTTTGGACTGAACACAATAATAATAATAATAACATAATATACCTATTATAACATCTCGCGCATAAAACCTGCATGTACACTCCGAGGTAACGGAGACGAGTTGATACGATCTACTTTTATGTTCCGTTAAGTGTATTAAATTTACCTACGTATAATATTACATATAGGTACACCTACTTTATAAACATTTGATTTTGTAAAAAAATGTATTAAAAGTGAATCAAGTTTTTGAATCTATATATTAAATTGAAATACACATATCTAATATACAAATATATATAAAAAGTAATTACTAATTTGTTGAAACTAATAATAATAATTTATTTGTAAGCAACATAATTCGAAATTCTCCTCACTTCTGGTCCATTCCAAAATAATTCATTTATTGAAACCTTCTAGTACATATGAATGTACACAAAACCAGTGTAAACAATTATTTCAAAACTTAAATACTTTCAAAAAACATAAAATGAAAAAGCATCCTATCATCAATTCTAATACAACTAATACAAGCAATATTAACAATGATATTAATACTTCTCTAGAAGTTCAAAATTGTACAACTCAAAATTTAAATGCAGTTGACAGAATGCCCCTTGAAAATGAATCCATACAAAATAATAATTCTATACCTCAAGAAAATCATTTTAATAATTGTATTCCTCTTGCTACAGCTCTTACTTCATTCCAAGATTCTGCTCTTAAATTTACAATATCACTAATCAGTAATAATAATTTTTCTAGAAAAAATGCTTTTGATATTCAAAGAGGTATAGAAGAAAGCTTAATAAAACCATTGGTGAATTTACTGAATGATTTTCTTAAAGATACAATTGAATTGCCTGCAATACTATCACAATTTAATAAAATTACATCAATATTATCAAATCCATTTGAATGGTGTAATTCTGAATATAAGTTAAATAATTGGTTGTCTGAAAACAACTTGTACGAAGAAGCATTGTACGATTGTACAATTTAATTCCTGAAGATGATTTGATACTCTACTCTCAACCCAATTTCTGCACTTTAAGAAATATTCATAAAGTTTCAGTGGTATTTACATAGTTTTAAAGTAAAATATTAACAAATGTTTTCGAATCTCATTTCAGTGTCTTCTTCACTACAGACTATACCGGAACCGTATACAGGGCCGCATTTGTCTGTTCGGAGAGCATCGATAGATGACACACAAACACCGCACGGTTTACCTACAAACATTTTTTTTTCCACTCAACAATCGGTAAGTAGACAAATAAACTATTATCGACACTTGGAGTATAAATCTATTTTAAAAATTATGTCTGTAATTATAATTAGGATTAAATACATTTTAAGTCTTAGGTGCATGTATACGGTTGGGGGGGAGGGTTATTGTGAATTGTGCCATCCTATAATTTCGGTGCGTTGATCGTTAGCGGTCAACAAACAAACACGTCTGTACTCTGAAGTGTATCGTACAGCCTACATTTTTGCATATTATTTTTTTTTTATATATCCTAATTTTGTTGTACTCTTGTGTTTAAGCATCAAAATGACAAAAATAAATCTGCATAAGCTCATTGCCGTTTTCAAAAAAAAAAGGATGTACTCAATGTCAGTGGAATAATGTAAAATGTGGTGATGATATCATCATTGAGTCTTGCAAAGCATGTTTTGATCAGAATACATGTTTGAAAAATCGAAAAATGATTAGACGAGTAAGTCGACAACATTTAATGAGCGACTTAATATTACACTGTAATACAATTTTAAATGCAAAAAAACATAATTGCAATATTGCATATCAAATTTGGCATGCTTCACTGTTGAGTTTCTACTTTCTTAGCAAGGAAGGGCCGCTGGGTTTAGCAGGGACAAATTACAATATTTTTTGTTTATATTGTAGTATATAAGTCATGTCGTAAGTCGTTACGTTTATTATTATATTGTACCTACTAAATGGTATTTTGCAATATACGACTGTCGCATGAACTGTTATTAATATCACATAGTGTTACGTTTAATATAAAGTATAAACTAAGTACTGCCGGGAAAGTCCTCGCGGTATCTTGTCTAATTAATTTTATATTTTTATAATATTATATGTCTATGGCAAGAACTGGTTTACAACTGTCGAGTAATGACATTCGACAGAATACCCCCATATCAGATTGGGTTATAGTTTATAATATTATGAAAACATTATCAAAATACAATGAAAAAGATGTCTGATATCCGACCCGGGAGAGAAACAGGAGACGCACCAATTTTAAAATAGATTCGAAGGCGAAAAAATAATATAACAACGCGAACAATGTAAAATGTTTCGAGTCTGTATAACGTCTGGTAACGTTATGATTTATTACCACCCCGGGTATCGTTCCTAGCAGATAGCAAACAAAGATTACGAAGTCCGTGCGATGCTATCATTGTCAATATACAACTATTTCGTGATTGAAAAATATACTTAAGTAAATTTGACTAATAAGACATTAGTTTTAGGATTTTTATTTTTTTTATTTCAATGCTGGAATAAAAAAAAAAAAACACCAATTTTCCATTGTGCGTACACTATGATTTATGTACTGTTGGACGAGTATTTTAGAAATATATTATAACTGGCTAACGAAATATAATATAGGTATTAATATAATTGCTTCTTTAATTCAATAATAAAACTATGTTACACGAGATTATTTATCTAATCTTTTGGACTGAACACAATAATAATAATAATAACATAATATACCTATTATAACATCTCGCGCATAAAACCTGCATGTACACTCCGAGGTAACGGAGACGAGTTGATACGATCTACTTTTATGTTCCGTTAAGTGTATTAAATTTACCTACGTATAATATTACATATAGGTACACCTACTTTATAAACATTTGATTTTGTAAAAAAATGTATTAAAAGTGAATCAAGTTTTTGAATCTATATATTAAATTGAAATACACATATCTAATATACAAATATATATAAAAAGTAATTACTAATTTGTTGAAACTAATAATAATAATTTATTTGTAAGCAACATAATTCGAAATTCTCCTCACTTCTGGTCCATTCCAAAATAATTCATTTATTGAAACCTTCTAGTACATATGAATGTACACAAAACCAGTGTAAACAATTATTTCAAAACTTAAATACTTTCAAAAAACATAAAATGAAAAAGCATCCTATCATCAATTCTAATACAACTAATACAAGCAATATTAACAATGATATTAATACTTCTCTAGAAGTTCAAAATTGTACAACTCAAAATTTAAATGCAGTTGACAGAATGCCCCTTGAAAATGAATCCATACAAAATAATAATTCTATACCTCAAGAAAATCATTTTAATAATTGTATTCCTCTTGCTACAGCTCTTACTTCATTCCAAGATTCTGCTCTTAAATTTACAATATCACTAATCAGTAATAATAATTTTTCTAGAAAAAATGCTTTTGATATTCAAAGAGGTATAGAAGGAAGCTTAATAAAACCATTGGTGAATTTACTGAATGATTTTCTTAAAGATACAATTGAATTGCCTGCAATACTATCACAATTTAATAAAATTACATCAATATTATCAAATCCATTTGAATGGTGTAATTCTGAATATAAGTTAAATAATTGGTTGTCTGAAAACAACTTGTACGAAGAAGAATTGTACGATTGTACAATTTAATTCCTGAAGATGATTTGATACTCTACTCTCAACCCAATTTCTGCACTTTAAGAAATATTCATAAAGTTTCAGTGGTATTTACATAGTTTTAAAGTAAAATATTAACAAATGTTTTCGAATCTCATTTCAGTGTCTTCTTCACTACAGACTATACCGGAACCGTATACAGGGCCGCATTTGTCTGTTCGGAGAGCATCGATAGATGACACACAAACACCGCACGGTTTACCTACAAACATTTTTTTTTCCACTCAACAATCGGTAAGTAGACAAATAAACTATTATCGACACTTGGAGTATAAATCTATTTTAAAAATTATGTCTGTAATTATAATTAGGATTAAATACATTTTAAGTCTTAGGTGCATGTATACGGTTGGGGGGGAGGGTTATTGTGAATTGTGCCATCCTATAATTTCGGTGCGTTGATCGTTAGCGGTCAACAAACAAACACGTCTGTACTCTGAAGTGTATCGTACAGCCTACATTTTTGCATATTATTTTTTTTTTATATATCCTAATTTTGTTGTACTCTTGTGTTTAAGCATCAAAATGACAAAAATAAATCTGCATAAGCTCATTGCCGTTTTCAAAAAAAAAAGGATGTACTCAATGTCAGTGGAATAATGTAAAATGTGGTGATGATATCATCATTGAGTCTTGCAAAGCATGTTTTGATCAGAATACATGTTTGAAAAATCGAAAAATGATTAGACGAGTAAGTCGACAACATTTAATGAGCGACTTAATATTACACTGTAATACAATTTTAAATGCAAAAAAACATAATTGCAATATTGCATATCAAATTTGGCATGCTTCACTGTTGAGTTTCTACTTTCTTAGCAAGGAAGGGCCGCTGGGTTTAGCAGGGACAAATTACAATATTTTTTGTTTATATTGTAGTATATAAGTCATGTCGTAAGTCGTTACGTTTATTATTATATTGTACCTACTAAATGGTATTTTGCAATATACGACTGTCGCATGAACTGTTATTAATATCACATAGTGTTACGTTTAATATAAAGTATAAACTAAGTACTGCCGGGAAAGTCCTCGCGGTATCTTGTCTAATTAATTTTATATTTTTATAATATTATATGTCTATGGCAAGAACTGGTTTACAACTGTCGAGTAATGACATTCGACAGAATACCCCCATATCAGATTGGGTTATAGTTTATAATATTAAGAAAACATTATCAAAATACAATGAAAAAGATGTCTGATATCCGACCCGGGAGAGAAACAGGAGACGCACCAATTTTAAAATAGATTCGAAGGCGAAAAAATAATATAACAACGCGAACAATGTAAAATGTTTCGAGTCTGTATAACGTCTGGTAACGTTATGATTTATTACCACCCCGGGTATCGTTCCTAGCAGATAGCAAACAAAGATTACGAAGTCCGTGCGATGCTATCATTGTCAATATACAACTATTTCGTGATTGAAAAATATACTTAAGTAAATTTGACTAATAAGACATTAGTTTTAGGATTTTTATTTTTTTTATTTCAATGCTGGAATAAAAAAAAAAAAACACCAATTTTCCATTGTGCGTACACTATGATTTATGTACTGTTGGACGAGTATTTTAGAAATATATTATAACTGGCTAACGAAATATAATATAGGTATTAATATAATTGCTTCTTTAATTCAATAATAAAACTATGTTACACGAGATTATTTATCTAATCTTTTGGACTGAACACAATAATAATAATAATAACATAATATACCTATTATAACATCTCGCGCATAAAACCTGCATGTACACTCCGAGGTAACGGAGACGAGTTGATACGATCTACTTTTATGTTCCGTTAAGTGTATTAAATTTACCTACGTATAATATTACATATAGGTACACCTACTTTATAAACATTTGATTTTGTAAAAAAATGTATTAAAAGTGAATCAAGTTTTTGAATCTATATATTAAATTGAAATACACATATCTAATATACAAATATATATAAAAAGTAATTACTAATTTGTTGAAACTAATAATAATAATTTATTTGTAAGCAACATAATTCGAAATTCTCCTCACTTCTGGTCCATTCCAAAATAATTCATTTATTGAAACCTTCTAGTACATATGAATGTACACAAAACCAGTGTAAACAATTATTTCAAAACTTAAATACTTTCAAAAAACATAAAATGAAAAAGCATCCTATCATCAATTCTAATACAACTAATACAAGCAATATTAACAATGATATTAATACTTCTCTAGAAGTTCAAAATTGTACAACTCAAAATTTAAATGCAGTTGACAGAATGCCCCTTGAAAATGAATCCATACAAAATAATAATTCTATACCTCAAGAAAATCATTTTAATAATTGTATTCCTCTTGCTACAGCTCTTACTTCATTCCAAGATTCTGCTCTTAAATTTACAATATCACTAATCAGTAATAATAATTTTTCTAGAAAAAATGCTTTTGATATTCAAAGAGGTATAGAAGAAAGCTTAATAAAACCATTGGTGAATTTACTGAATGATTTTCTTAAAGATACAATTGAATTGCCTGCAATACTATCACAATTTAATAAAATTACATCAATATTATCAAATCCATTTGAATGGTGTAATTCTGAATATAAGTTAAATAATTGGTTGTCTGAAAACAACTTGTACGAAGAAGCATTGTACGATTGTACAATTTAATTCCTGAAGATGATTTGATACTCTACTCTCAACCCAATTTCTGCACTTTAAGAAATATTCATAAAGTTTCAGTGGTATTTACATAGTTTTAAAGTAAAATATTAACAAATGTTTTCGAATCTCATTTCAGTGTCTTCTTCACTACAGACTATACCGGAACCGTATACAGGGCCGCATTTGTCTGTTCGGAGAGCATCGATAGATGACACACAAACACCGCACGGTTTACCTACAAACATTTTTTTTTTCCACTCAACAATCGGTAAGTAGACAAATAAACTATTATCGACACTTGGAGTATAAATCTATTTTAAAAATTATGTCTGTAATTATAATTAGGATTAAATACATTTTAAGTCTTAGGTGCATGTATACGGTTGGGGGGGAGGGTTATTGTGAATTGTGCCATCCTATAATTTCGGTGCGTTGATCGTTAGCGGTCAACAAACAAACACGTCTGTACTCTGAAGTGTATCGTACAGCCTACATTTTTGCATATTATTTTTTTTTTATATATCCTAATTTTGTTGTACTCTTGTGTTTAAGCATCAAAATGACAAAAATAAATCTGCATAAGCTCATTGCCGTTTTCAAAAAAAAAGGATGTACTCAATGTCAGTGGAATAATGTAAAATGTGGTGATGATATCATCATTGAGTCTTGCAAAGCATGTTTTGATCAGAATACATGTTTGAAAAATCGAAAAATGATTAGACGAGTAAGTCGACAACATTTAATGAGCGACTTAATATTACACTGTAATACAATTTTAAATGCAAAAAAACATAATTGCAATATTGCATATCAAATTTGGCATGCTTCACTGTTGAGTTTCTACTTTCTTAGCAAGGAAGGGCCGCTGGGTTTAGCAGGGACAAATTACAATATTTTTTGTTTATATTGTAGTATATAAATCATGTCGTAAGTCGTTACGTTTATTATTATATTGTACCTACTAAATGGTATTTTGCAATATACGACTGTCGCATGAACTTTTATTAATATCACATAGTGTTACGTATAATATAAAGTATAAACTAAGTACTGCCGGGAAAGTCCTCGCGGTATCTTGTCTAATTAATTTTATATTTTTATAATATTATATGTCTATGGCAAGAACTGGTTTACAACTGTCGAGTAATGGCATTCGACAGAATACCCCCATATCAGATTGGGTTATAGTTTATAATATTATGAAACATTATCAAAATACAATGACAAAGATGTCTGATATCCGACCCGGGAGGGAAACAGGAGACGCACCAATTTTAAAATTGTCTACTCAAAGCAGAACACGTGTAGCTCCGTTAGTTTAAAAATTAGAGTAAATTTACCACTTATAAAATCTAAAGGTAAGATTATTATCTAGATTCTATACAAACAACTGTTGTCGATATCGCACTAAAAATCCAGATCTAGCGTTCTGCTCTAGTGGGTTAATATTAAAACCAACGCTAGTTTATTATTTATTGTATAATGCTATATGGTACACTAAGAACATCAATTATTATAATAATATTAGGTTTATTGTAAATAATAATATTATATAAACCAAAAGATAAATTATATTTAAAAAATAAGTTTTTCTGTAATTTACCTTCGTTAGTATCCATATGCTGATTCACTTCGTCACCAACGTCCCCACCCCCACCCATTTGACTTTTTCAACTTTTTCCAACGCCAATATTTAGTGCTCAATTCCTGCCAATTCCTGCCGTAGACCCCGGAATTCATGCTCAAAAGCCGCCCCCGTAAAGGTTAGGTTAAAATATTGGATGAGCGTTAGTTGTCTGACAACTTTTACCAAATACAGGCGCATCAGCAGTAGATCCAAAAATTTCCGTAATATGCTGTTCAGTCTGATTCAATAGTGATGTAGTCTGTGTTTGACTCAACACTGCAAGTGCTGTGGGTTTACTACCAAAGTTACACTTACCAAATTCTGGCGTATTCCTGGCCTTACCAAAACCATACTGCTTCCATACTGCTTCATGTGCCAACATGTGAAGTTCCAGGATATCATTATAGCCATCCTCAGCCCAATCAGTTACATTTTGACTGGGTTGAGTGGTATTTAATATCCTCCCGAAAATTAGTACGTCAAATTCCGGGAGTACCTGGGAGAATCACCCGTGTTATCTCGACTACCCAAATATTTCCAAGACTACCTGTTATATTCTATTTAAAAATGTACATTCCCGCGTTGTAATCTGTATCATCGTAATTGACAATTTAATTTTGTTTTCAATGTACAATTTACTATCCACGTATCTTACCATCAGACCAGGTATTTATGTCGTCAGTCAGTCGACAGCCGTCCTTATTACGTCCGTCAGTTATTATTTACTGTATAGTACTACACGCTACGTCTAGCCAACATGAATTTTTTTTAATTTGCCATCTTCAGAAAAGGAAGCTGTGCAATTTTTTCAAGAACGCGGAGTGTTGCCAAGTGTACAGATTTGTCAAAACAATCACTTGGCAAAGTTATATTTTGGAAAAGAAATATTTTGGAAAATGCAATGTTAAGAAATGCCGAAAAAAGGTAAATGTACGTAATGGTAATTGGTTTGCAAAATCACGAATATCGTTTACAGTTGCCGTACGATTTATATATGACGAGTGCGAAATGGTGCGAGCAACAATTAGGTTTAAGCCTAAATACAGTTATTGACTGGAATAATTACCTACGCGAAGTATGTGCAATGGCTGTTGAAATTAAACCACAAACAAAATTAGGTGGACCGAGGAAAATCGTCGAGATCGATGAAAGTCTATTTTCGAAAAGCAAAATTAGCAAGATTAATATCTTACTGAATTTGTTTGGTGACAAAACATTGGAGACGATACACCATTTGATAAAATTCTAATGGATCTTAAAACATACTTCCCTCCACAAAAAAATTATTAATTACCATACATATTATTTTTACCAGATTTTTTTTAAGTACTTAAACATTATTTTGTAATAATTTTTTATAACCGTAAAAAAATATTGAATACATATTATTTTTACCAGGTAGTCGACTGCTCATATGAAATAATAATATCTTTGTCAACTGCTTGGTCTAATAATACACTATCACTATCCTGGGTGTTATGAATATTTTAAGTATTGACAATAGGTAACGAGGAAGATAACATCAATTATTATAATAATATATAAATAGTAATAAATAATAACATACTATTATAGTATATAAGTGCATATTTAATAAATAAATAATTTGTTAGTAGTTTGTAGGTACTTTTTATAATTCTTTTTAAGATTTTAGGTTACTATTTAGTTATTTAAAGTTCAAACAACCCAAAGTGGTAAAGAGTACAGTTATACAGTCATTATAGTTTTACAAGAGATTATACATTGTGGATATAAATACTGGATATTAATTAATCACAGAAGGAAAAAAAATTATATTTACATTGTTTTCTAATCAAGCCACACTTATGTTAGGAAGATAGTTTATTATTGTTTTATTTTTTTACTTGGTCAAATTTTACATGAATACATCACAACATAGTTGCGAATGTGCAAAAAGTGACTAAGTGAAACAATCAATGATGGAAGTATACCCTTATTACAATTATCAAAATATTGCCTGTAGAATCTTTAACAATTTTTTCTCCAACGATATCTGCCGAAGAAAAATGTTTTTCACAGATTCTCTGTCCAACACTTAACCCCTGAAAAACATTTCCCCAAGTTTCTAGTCTTTTACTAGTCACCACAAAACTAGTAATACCTTCAGTATTTTTTTTACATATGCAACATAATTGGGGAATTTTAAATGAATGAAGTAACAAAAATGTAGTAGTTAACTAAGAAAATGTTATAAAATAATTTTATTATAATTATTAAGATTAATACAATTTGTTTAGTATTAACCGTTAAAACTTATATCGCTTAGCTTTGTGCATCGTGTTATATTATTCTCAGACCGTTGTATAATCTATAATACAGAACATAGAATATGTATTATATTTACTTAAATTATACCTACCTATTTGATGCGCTTATTTAATAAAACATTTAAAAAAAGTATATACATAATTGGAGAGTTTAGTGCATCATCTGATATATAGATCTATACAATCAATATATTAGCGTTCGTACAACAAACTACTAGAGTGCAGCCAGGGGCGTCCGCAGGGGGGAGGCTAACGGGCTGAAGCCCCCCCTCATTGCCCGTATTATTATTACTCTTTCAAAAAAATATTAATCAAGTTTAAACTGTCGTCTGTCAACTATAATAAATCTCATATATGTCTTACCAGAAGAATTCTTTTTTGAAAAAACATCGAATTTGCATACCAATTTTCATAAATTATCTGTAATTTTTCGGTAAAATTATGAACTACTTGTATGAAAGACCTTGTATTAAATTGTCTAGCCTTAGATATACATATTTTATATTTTATAAATTTTGAACTACAAATTAACCGTGGTTTTGACGAAATTTGAACTTTAAATGCTTATAAAAAATAACCATGATTTCTATGTATTATTAATATTTTAGCTATAATAAAAAAACTTACGTATTACATTTTTAAGCTTTTTGACCGGATAGATAATTTTTTATTGAAATTTATAGAAAAAAAATTTCAATTAATCAAATACATACCAAGTTAAGACCGGTATAAAAAAGCTTGTAACCAAACAATTTAAATAAATTTTCATTTTTTTTTCACCAATTATTTTTAAAAGCACTAAGAATTTTCAATTTCGACCTCCTACAAGTACTAACTAAATCCAATTTGCTTCCAAAAACATACCCTGGCATCGAAGCTTATGATCAGAGCATTTTTTCTACCAGAAGAGTTGAAAAGTTACAAACATTTTAAAATACCCCAAATAAACGTCTGCAATTATTAGACTGGACAAAATAAAAATTAAATTGTAACTAATTGTCAAGCCCCCCCCCCCCATTGAAAATTCCTGCGGGCGCCACTGAGCGCAGCATTGCGCTAGATCTGGATTTTTACCGTAATGAAAACACTATTCAGGTGTCGACTTATGCCAGACCTATTATTCTAAGACCGTGGTCCACAGACATAAAAAAAAAAACACAATCATTTAGCAGATGTAAATACGCTTGTTGAAAATATTATGATACTGACACTAACCGCGATTAACAGCGCTTAACCAGGTGTTACCACACTTGGTGAAGTCCCAAATCTTTGGTTATCAATGTGTTTATCAATCGTGATTCGTGTTTCTTCATTAAGATGATAAATCCGCGATTAGCAGTGTATGGGAAATTTACATTCACGAGTTTTAAATATAATATATATTATAGCATATTGTATAATATTATAATATTATAGTCGCAACTAAAACATGGATGTATTAAAAGAAATTAATATATTTGTAGTAGGTTCACCAAAATCATAGGCATGGTAGCTCGAGGTACTTTCTACGATGTGTGTAAGTTTCAAAACGATCGGTCGAAGGGTTGATTTTATATCGGCATATACAGACTCACTCGACATATACAGACTGGTCATACGAAAAAAACACGTAAATCGTTTTTCAACTTTTTGTTACGCAGATTACGGACGAAATAAAGGTCGTACGTACTCGGACCATAGAGGCTTTTCGATTTCCCGTACGCCAAATAGTCAGATTCTAGAGTTCGGTAGCGATCGACAGGGAAAAAAAAAACCAAAAATGCATGCGCTCAATCAATTTTCCGAGTAAAAAAAATAAACTAAAAATCATAACTCCACAACCAAAAGTCGGATCACCTCGCTGTCGGTGCCGTTGGATTCGGGGCAAAGTGGTCTATAAAATACGACTAAAAAAACGGCTCGGACCGCCCAAAATCGATATCACGGAGTCAGGGATGTCATTGACCATTGTGCATTGGCGGTCTACCTCGGGACTCACCCGGCAAACCCGTCACTCAAGTTAAAAAAATTATATAAAATAAACCCTTTGACCTACCGACTTGAAACTTACAGAGCACGTTACTAGTACCCTTGGCTACCGTCCCTGTGCAGCGGGTGAGCGTGACATCAAAATCACGGCGTCAGGTATGTCATTGTGCATTGTTGGTCTACCGTGGGACTCACCCGGCAAAAACCGAATGTTCTCAACGGGGGGGGGGGGGGGGGGGGGTACCCCTCGATTTTTTGACGAAAAACCACAACCCCCCGGATCGACAACAGCACTCTCGACCTGGTTCGGGGCCCTTTGGCCTGTGTATCGCCAAAGTTATAAGTCGCTGTAGCCATTAGTCGGTAGTATAGAGCAATCCGCGTATAAGTAATACGCCGATGTGCCGTTTGATCGCGATAATTAATTCCATGGGTTGACGCTAACTAGAGACATTTATTCCATGACGGCATCAGTTACCAAATAAAATAAAAAATATAAAAATGTATTTAAAATAAAAAATAAATAACACACCTTCGTGAAATAAACATAAAAAAAAAAAAAAAAAATCCTGGAAAAAAAAATATAAATTGGGGTGGGGCTTAAGGGAAAAAAACACTCCACATACACCCTCGACACACCGAATTGTTGATCATTTGCTACTGGACCACACAGCACACAACTGCAGTCAATATGTAGGAGTACCTATGTTTTTTGCAAAATAATTATGAAGCTAGCGTTCGACGGATGATCTCTAATAATCAACGTAGGCTCATAATTGACCTATCGAGAATTAGAGATGATCTTCCGAACAAGAATAAGGCATTGTTGCATCAATTTCATGAGGAGGAGGTCCTGTTGAAGCTGGCCCTCAAACAAGTGGTCGAAACAATCAACCCTGAGTACGCAAATCGGTACGACGAGTTTTTTGTCGGCTTTGAGGGCAGTTTCGGCAGTCACAACATCACACCTCAGACGTTGAATAGTAATTTTTTAAATAAATTAGTGTGTGTGGAAGGTGTCGTCTCGCGGTGTAATCTCGTTCGCTCGAAGTTGGTGAAAAGTGTTTTTATGAGTCAAACTACCGGACAAACAATCGCCGTTCGTTCCCCAGTTAACCCAAAAATGAAGGAGGACTGGGAACTTCAATACGGGTTGTGTGAATACAAGGACGTACAACAAATCACAATCAGGGAGGCATACCAGAATACACCGCCAGGACGAGCGACATACCAAGTTAAGACCGGTATAACCAAGCTTGTAACCAAACAATTTAAATAAATTTTATATATTATATATATTTTATATTTTATATATTATATATTATATATTATATATTTTATATATTATATATTATATATTTTATATATTATATATTTTATATATTATAATATATTTTATATATTATATATGTTATACTTATTTTTTGTATTGTAAGTTAGCGTGCTGCGTTAATATCAAGGCGATAGGTAAAAGGGTTGATTTTATAAAATTGTTCAGAGATGGAATATATATATTACCGGATAGGTCAAGTATACACAAAATCCACAATAAGAATGCCCTAGCCGTGATATGGTCATCACGTTCCCCAAAATTGGGGGAGGGTAGCTCAGGGTACTAGTAGCATGCTGCGTTAATATCAAGTCGATAGGTAAAAGGTTGATTTTATAAAATTGTTCAGAGATGGAAATATATATTACCGGGTAGGTCCCGTATACACAAAATCCACAATTACAATGCAAAAGCCGTGAAATCGGCATCACGTTCCCCAAAATTGGGGGGAGTTTAGCTCGGAGTACTAGGAGCGTGCTGCGTTAATATCAAGTCGATAAGTAAAAGGGTTGATTTTATAAAATTGTTCAGAGAGGGAAATATATATTACCGGGTAGGTCCCGTATACACAAAATCCACAATTAGAATGCCCTAGCCGTGATATGGTCATCACGTTCCCCAAAATTGGGGGAGGGTAGCTCAGGGTACTAGTAGCGTGCTGCGTTAATATCAAGTCGATAGGTAAAAGGTTGATTTTATAAAATTGTTCAGAGATGGAAATATATATTACCGGGTAGGTCCCGTATACACAAAATCCACAATTACAATGCAAAAGCCGTGAAATCGGCATCACGTTCCCCAAAATTGGGGGGAGGGTAGCTCAGGGTACTAGGAGCGTACTGCGTTAATATCAAGTCGATAAGTAAAAGGTTGATTTTATAAAATTGTTCAGAGAGGGAAATATATATTACCGGGTAGGTCCCGTATACACAAAATCCACAATAAGAAAGCTCAAGCCGTGATATCGGCATCATGTTCCCCAAAATTGGGGAGAGGGTAGCTCAGGGTACTAGTAACGTGCTGCATTAATATCAAGTCGATACGTAAAAGGGTTGATTTTATACATTTTGTCGAAATTTTAAAATCACGATCCAAGGCAAACGAGTGTATATCTATGCGCGGCTAGCTCCATACTCTGAAATAACGGTGATACCGATTTATAACTTTGGCGAGACAGAGGCTAATGGGCCCCGAACAAGGTTATGAGTGCCAGTGTCGTTCGGGGGAGTTGTGGTTTTTCGTCAAAAAATCAAAGGATTATTCATCAAAGGACATAACATTTAGATTTTTTTACCGGGTAGGTCCCGTGTACACAAAATCAACAATTACAATGCAAAAGCCGTGATATGGTCATCACGTTCCCCAAAATTGGGGGAAGGTAGCTCAGGGTACTAGTAGCGTGCTGCGTTAATATCAAGTCGATAAGTAAAAAGGTTGATTTTAAACATTTTGTCGAAATTTTAAAAACACGATCCAACGGCATACGAGTGTTAACTATACGCGTCTATACGTATGATACGTACGTATGAGTGAATACAGTGGACCAACCCGGTAAATAATAAATTTTTAAATATCAATTTCAATTTGCAGGCAATGTCGATGAGCGTTGCCACTGCAGTTCAATAGTACAATGTTAGTCACTACTCACTACTCACTAGTCACTCTCATTTCTCTCTCGTGCGCCTTTAGACAAACTGCAAATTTTTTTAATACAAGATGGATTCCGACGATGAAAATGATGAATCATTTTTTACATACGTAAATCCAGACGACTTCGGCGATAGCGCAGATGCTGCGGTACTTATGTATGCTGACGACTATTGTACAAAAATGTATATCGATTCATACATTAAGAGCAAGACCCACAAAACCCACATGCATAACCTCAAATTGCTTCACCAACGTCACATTGATATACTTGGATGCCAAATCAGGATGTACCAAGCCGCGTTACTGCCGGATTGTCCGTTCAGGTAATTATGAAATATTTTATTTGTCAGTGGCGGCGTGATTCTAAGGCCCGTTTCACAGCGACGCGTTCGTACGACCGCGTTTTCATTTACATTGGTTAAGTTCAAACGCGCCATACCAGCGAGGGAAACGCGTTTGAACTTAACCAATGTAAATGAAAACGCGCGCGTACGAACGCGTCGCTGTGAAACGGGCCTTACAGGGCCGGGGCTATACACGGCGTATCCGTCGCGTTTCGAACGCCCGTTGTTAGCACATGACTACCAATGTTCAATAACCGTCTCGTAACTTTTTTATAACTATATATATATATATTTTCATTATATTATGTTTGATTTTTTTCATTATATTATATTTGATTTGCGCGGGTGAAATATGATTTTCTTTTACCGTTTTTATTTTAATAGTGTGCTATTTGTTGTAATGTTCGAGTGAATTTACCTATTAGGTATTATCGAATTGTCATGTGGTAAGAAAATTATCTGTGCATCATTGTCTTATATTTGACATAACTGTCCTAACTCGATTAAAATTTGTAATATCGTAAATAGTCGATCGAGAGAACATAGATAATGTTGCACGTGTGTAACTTGTGTAAGACGGAGACAATATAATATTATGCGAGTATCCACTTAAGTGGACCACGTAGCACGCGTCACAAATTGGTCTATCAGGAAAATATAAATTCATGAGGTTTAAATGAAAAACAAAGGAAAATTAAGCTTACACCGACGTACAAGCATAAATGGTATAACATTAGAAGATTATGAAAATGTTTTACTTTCACTGAGATAACCACGTGGTAATATAGCCGGATGCGTAAGAGATATTTTGGAGGTACTTTGGGGTAACAGCAATGTTGATGATGCGGCACAAAATCTAATAGCAACCTGGATAAGACGAATTCACACATTAACTTCGGTAAGTAGAGTAAGGTTAATCCCCTTAATGTACAACTAAAGTTAACCATATTATTTTTTTCAGACCCTATTCGTCGAATCAAAGATGGATATCCGAGATCGCGTATTAGAATCGAAAAATGTATACCCAAATTATAAAATTAAAATAAAATATTGGTATTTACTTGGCGTCCAATTACAGCCAAAAAAAACCACTATAATTAACCTGTGTTACTTTAATTATTATTGTTAAAAAAATTTTTGTCATGTGGTAAGAAAATTATCTGTGCATCATTGTCTTATATTTGACATACCTGTCCTAACTCGCTTAAAATTTGTAATATCGTTAATAGTCGATCGAGAGAACATAGATAATATTGCACGTGTGTAAGACGGAGACAATATAATATTATGCGAGTATCCACTTAACTGGACCACGTAGCACGCGTCTGTAGAGTATTATGTGTTTGAAAACTCAAGCTTTTGTTGAATTAACTTTACCTAATATTATGATTACTGTATGTCATGTGTTCTCATTAAGTTTTAGGCACATGACTAATATTTTTTAAAGTAAATAATTGTGTTTGTTAACGCACTACCAATATTCAATAACCGTGCCGTAAATTTTTAATTTGTTTTGTTTTTGAAATGTAGAATGAAATTCATCCAAAATGTGAACATGACATTCAACGGTGCTGGTGTATGGGTGTTTAACCAGCAGAACGAACCGGCTCGAAATCCCCCTAACCAAAACCAGTATAGGGGGATTAAGGCGGGGCCAAAAAAATGAACAAAAGACGTGAGTAGATTTATACTAATTACGATTAAGTGCCATTACTAATAGGTGTATCGTCCATTTTATGTTGCAGGTTGTTATAGGTGTTCCCGATATGGGCACCTTGCCAGGGATTGTCTCGGTGAGTGTGTACATTTCATGTGTATTGTTAATCATTTGTTTTGATAATCTTTATTTTTTCAGCCCCCCGTAAGCCTACCAGGGTGAGTCATCCACCATCACCATCAGCTCCAGATGACCAAATGGAGGTGGTCGAGGAGCAGGTGGTGGTGGTGGAAGAGTCGTTAACCAGGGACGTCAACGTTGAAGAGCTAACTGGGATGGTGGCCAACGTTGGCATCACCAATAATGTAATTAACGCAAGTTTAAATTATTTGTGTGTGTTGATTTTAACAATCATGTAATTTGCAGGACTCACAACATTCGGATACACATAACACATACACTGGTTGTAAGTATTCAATTGGAAACTACACTACATTCAAATTGTGTTTATATTTAATTTATTTTATGTTTTTCAGCTGAATAAAAACCATTTTTTTTTTCATATTTATTGTTTTTTATTTGTCTGTTAGTTTCTATCCTTAAGTATCAGAAGAACGTAGTAGTATGAATAGTAGATCGTATTATTTTTATTATTATTATTATTATTATTATTATTATTATTATTTTGTCACGAGGTCGCGTACTTAACGCGCTTCAAAGTCCCACGCAGCGGTGCATGCCGTTGTCTATTCCATTTTAACTATAATATA